CATATGTATTTCAAACTAAAAGTCAACACTAGTTGGTGAGGAATTTGTCATAATAGAAAAGATAGTAACAGAAAAATCATAACAAAGCCTTCCAACCATGTTATTTGGTGTAGTGCTAGAACATGCTAGAATGTTCCTTCCTTTTCTATCCCCGCCCTCTGCTCTCTTCTCCTTCTGATACTTCTTCAGTGACCAGCGACAACTTAGATGATTTCCTCAATACCCATAACTCCCAGCAACTCAGAAATAACCTTCAAATTATTGCCTCACAACATATTAAAGAAATTTTTAAATAAAGGAACACATTCAAGAACTTTTTTAAAACGTTAGAGTGAGCTGAAAGGGTTTTTGCTGTAAAGAAATTTTTTAAAAAATATATTGTGTCCTCTACCTCATCCATCTAAAACACTTACCTTTGTGTGTTTTATTAAACGTATACTGGGGGTGAGTGACTGGAGTTTTTGTTAGTTAGGTGCGTGATCAAAAGTTTGCTGACCGGGTCGGACGAGGTGGCTCACACCCGTAATCCCAGCACTTTGGGAGGCTGAGCGAGACAAGTGGATCACCTGAGGTCAGGAGTTCGAGACCAGCCTGGCCAACATGGCGAAACCCTGTCTTTACTAAAAATACAAAAATTAGTCAGGTGCGACGGCGCGTGCCTGTAATCCCAGCTACTCGGGAGGCTGAGGCAGGAGAATCGCTTGAACCCGGGAGGTGGAGGTTGCAGTGAACCGAGGTGGAGTCACTGAACTCCAGCCTAAAAAGTTTGCTGACCACCATTTTAAACCCTGGGATACAATTCAAAGTGTTTAAGAATGGGCCAAGTGTAAAAAGTACTCTACCGAGAAAAGTAATTGAGCAGAAGCACATAGTGACAGAAAGAGTGGAAGGAAAGACTGACCAGAGAGAACCATTCTTTAATTCAACAAGGCATTCATTCAGTTCATTCAGAAATGAGATGGGAAGGCGGAACCCGCCAAGACGGGAAAGAGACTTCACAAAAAGGATTTGGTGATGACAGATTGTGAGGAGGAGGATTAAAACCCCGCCTGGGGGAAAAGATGAGTTTGACTCTATGGACAGGACACATGCGGGAGAGGAAGGGCCTGGGATCAAGGGAAAGGCCTGGACAGCGAATGTGGACCTGGAAGCCATCTTTTTAGATGTGCAGCTGTCCCCGAAGGAGCAAGCTCTCTTAGTGAGAAACTGGGAAGAAAATCACTCAAGAGGCTTAACCCAAACCTTGCAGCACACCTGCATTTAGACGAAAAAAAAAAAAAAAAAGGCAAATGCAAAGAACATTAGCAGCGGCCCGAGAGGTAAGCCGCACTGCTTCCAACCGATTTAAGAGAGTTGTCCCAAGGCAGGTGGTCAACTGCGCGCGCCACCGTGGAGAGACCACCCGGAGGGAAGGCCCGCGGCTGCTACAGCTTCAGGAACCTGGAAAAAGACTACCCCTGTTAAGCGCCAGGCATCAGAAAAGCGGTAATGAGGGGCATGGGGGTGACCAGGAAGGGAGGGACAAGCAGAGAGACCTGCGGCTCGCTCCGGCAGAGACGGACAGGGGGCCCAGCGCGGCTGGTTGCTGGCTCCGCCACGTCTAGGGAAGAAGGTAGCAGGGAGGGAAAGACTCAAGATACCAAAGAGTAGAGGCTCTTTCCTTCCTTCCCAACCCTGCCTCCCGCTTCTCTAGGCCCTGGCTGGCTCCAGAGCACTTTATTCTTCTGATTGGTGCGGGCGGGCGGGGAAAGGGGTAGAGGTTGAGCCTGGTCTCCGCTAGGCACTAGCATTTTAGCCATTCTCGAAAAAAGGTCTGGAGGTGCCGGAAGGAAGGGAACGGTAGAAGCGCGGGTCCTGCAGGGGCTCCCAGAGGGGAGCAGAGAAGGGAGTGGCTGAAGGCAGAGGCTGTCAGGTGCGGGGTCCCGGCGAGGCCGTGCCCCTCCCAGAACAGTACCCGCCTGGACAGTCCACCCAGACCAGGGTTGCGGACAGCGCCCCTCCCTCCGGGTGCACTTACCGCTCCGACTGAGAATAGTTGCACCGGCCCAGCAAGTTGAGCTTGCAGAGATGCAGGTTCTCGCAGGGTCTCTGGCAGTACTTGCGACGGCAGACCCGGGCTCGAGTGGTGGCCACCACCGATCGGGTGATCCCGGCCTCGCCGCTGGTTTCCAACACCACAAAGCGGTCGGGCCCGGCTACCTGCAGCACCTCACGGAGCTGCGGCTCAGACAGCGCGATCTCCTCGAGCAAAGCGTCCAGGGCCATGCGGCCCCCGTGGGCGCACAGGATTTTGGTGATGAAGCAGCACACCTCCGGGTCCGCCATGGCGCGCTGGCTGTGCTGGCTCTGCCGCGGCGCGGGACTCGGTTCCGCGGAAATCGAAACTTACAAGTGTACAGGGGCGGGCGCGGGCGGTGCTCCTGCTGGGCGCGCCCGGAGTCAGCGAGGGCGCGCTCTCCGTCGCCGTTAGTCCAGCCCAGCGATCCACTCTCCGCTCTCAGGTCAACAGGCTAGATCTCACCGACCGGGTCCTAGTGGCAGGTTTACAGCCGGCCGCAAGGGCAACTGGGTGGAAAGAAAGAGAACGCGCGGGCAAATCCGCTGGTGACCGCCTGGGGTGGCCGCTCTCGGTTCTAGGCTCGGCGAGGGTGAGGTTCCCCAGCCGGGCTCCGCGTGGCTTCTTTAGAAAGAAGAGAAACTAAAAGCGATCTTGGGGCTCTGGCCGGTGTTTTATAAGCCAGCCGACTGAGGCGTGTGACGCAAGTCTTGGGAGCCCTGTTGAGGAGTGCGCACCCCACCCATTCCCGGAAAGAGCAGACCCTAGCGAGCGCTTCCTGCGAGCCGTGCGCTCTGCCTCCGTTGGTAGTAAATCTTCCCAGCAACTCCATACTGTAGATATTATTATCCTCACCCTGAACTTGAGGAAGTAACTTGCACAAACACGCACTGGCATCAAGCGGAGCTCAGATGCCACCGAGGTTCCCCAGATCGCGTCCCCAAGCCCCAAATCGTGGTCTGCCCGGTCCAGGATCGATGTGTAACTTTCTCCTCCACCACCGTGCCCTCTTAAAGAACAACGATTGTCACTCTCCCTCGTTTCTGCCTTCTCACGAACTTCTGGACGAACCACTTCTTGACGTGGTCTTGCTTACCTAGAATCGCTAACTCGGTGCCCTGAACCACTGCTTATACCTCAATCACGATGGACATGCTAAGACGTATCCCAAGATTTCAGATCGGTTCCTCCCTGTAGAGATTGGGACAAGAACTTTTCCACCATGGGGACACACTTTGACCTCCCGAGTTGACATATTGTTTTTAAGTGAAAACATTGAGCTACAGAAGAGGTAGAAAGAAATCTTAATGAAACTTCCCTTATCTGACTAAAGCAGAAACTCCCGAAAACATGGTGCCATTAACAGCCTCTCAGAGTATTCAGCTGCCAGGAAGATAAACTGTCCCATTACCATTAGCACCAAAAAACCCAATGGGCTAGGTACAGTGGCTCAGCCTGTAATCCCAGCACTTTAGGAAGCCGAGGTGGTGGGAGGATTGCTTGAACCCAGGAGTTCAAGACTAGCCTGGGCAACATAGTGAGCTCTCTACAATAATAATAATAACAACAACAATAATAATTAGCCAGGCATGGTGGTGTGCACCTGTAGTCCCAGCTACTCACGAGCCTGAGGTGGGAGGTTTGCTTGAGCATGGGAGGCTGCAATGAGCCAGGATTGTGCCACTGCACTCCAGCCTGGGCAACAGCGCTGAGACTTTGTCTCAAAAACAGAAAACAACCCAATCGAAACTTACGAACTCTCCTACTGAAACACTGAAAACTTCCTTTCTGTTAAGTTGAGGTACATAAACCTTTACTTTTGAGTTTTCTGTTACTGGAAGCTCCTCCTTGAATGTGTAAATAAACTTTGTCTTTTCTCCTGTTTGTCTGTCTATTGCCAGTTAATTTTTAGGCCCTCGAAGACAGGACACAAGTTGAAGAGGAAAAAGTGGGTTTTTTTTGTTTTTTCTGTTTTTTGTTTTTTCCAACATCTTCAAATAAAATAGATGGGTCATTGATCAGATAAGAAATACATCTTTTTAAAAAATAGTAGAATCCCATCCTGGCTAACACAGTGAAACCCCGTCTTTACTAAAAAATACAAAAAACTAGCCGGGCGAAGTGGCGGGTGCCTGTAGTCCCAGCTACTCGGGAGGCTGAAGCAGGAGAATGGTGTGAATCCGGAAGGAGGAGCTTGCAGTGAGCTGAGATCCGGCCACTGCACTCCAGTCTGGGTGACAGAGCGAGACTCCGTCTCAAAAAAAAAAAAAAAAAAAAAAAAGTAGAATCTGGTTGCCATCTTAGAAATTCTTCAAAATGACTAATGAGAATTCTCCGCGCTGTCATTCATGGTAGATAAACCCTCTTTCAGGAATAGAGTACTTTGTTATGAAAACCAGCCAAACATGGCGGCCACATAGGATCATCTTAGGATGTCTAAGAGGGACATCTTGTTCCCTCTAGCTGCGGCTTCTATAGTTGTCTTTTAATCCACTTGGCCTTATTTGTGGTCTGACAGGTTCCCAGGGACCTTTTATTATCAAATCAACTAAGTTCCAGATGTTTATTGACTATCTTCTATGTGGTCCTTACATTAGTTAGTAACGTAAGAACATGCAGAGGTTTAAGAAACAGTCCCTGCGCTCAAGGAGCATGTATGGGAAGACATGAAAAAATGCTTGGAAATATAAGCAAATTCGTGGATAAACGCTGCAATGGGAATATACAAGATGAGAGACTGAAGAGTCTAGTTTGGCTACAGTGGTTGGGAGTATAGACATAGAATCTACTCCAATTTGAAGCCATGAAAAATGATTTAAGGGCCAGGTGCAGTGCCTGTAATCCCAACACTTTGGGAGGCCAAGGCGGGAGGATCATGACCCTCCTGGGCAACATAGTGTGAGACCCACCTGGGCAACATAGCAAGACCTCATCTCTACTAAAACTAAAAATTAGCCAGACATAGTGGCATGCGCCTGTAGTCCCAACTACTTGGGAGGCTGTGGCGGGAGGATTTCTTGAGCCCAGGAGTTCAAGGTTGTAGTGAGCTACAATTGTGCCACTACACTCCAGCCAAGGCAACAGAGGAAGATCCTTTTGAACAGGGAAGAGAAGGGAAATGGAAAGTGAAACAGAAAGGGAAAGAGAAAGGGAAAGAAAAGGGAGTAAAGGAAAAGAAAGAAGGGAAAGGAAAGGGGAAAAGAAGAACGGAAAGTGAAAGGAAAAAAGAAAGTGAAAGGGAGAAAGAAAGGTGATTTAAGGAGTTCTGGGAAGGAAAAAGGAGACATTTTGAAAATTTTTGAAATATGTGCCATCAGAGATTGGGTTCTCCAGGAAGGAGATCCTGACATGGAGTTAAGAGTACAGAACTTTCTCTGCACTTTTTCTGGGGCATAACGCCAGTACAAGTCAAAGGAAAAAGCATGATTGATCCACGGGGCCTATCAGACTTTGGTGAGGACCTGACAAAGTCTCTGCCAGCCCAATGAGAAGCTCTGGAGTAGGGGTCCAGCTCCGGACAGAAAAGTCTAGGCCCTTGTACTGCCTTGCTCAGCCACTGGTGGGGGCCGCCAGAGAAGTGGATGACTTCAGCTCGAATGCCGGGGCAGATCTTGAAAGAGCTAAAGCTGGAGGCTATTGGCTAAACATGCTCCTTTGTCAAAGTTGGGCAGCAAGCTTGACCTGAGTGCCACACTGTGTCAGCTGTAGTCCACCCTTTGTACCACATGGCTTTCTTTATCCATTTGTATTTAGGAAACAAGCTTTTCAGGGGCACTCTTCCTACAGGGACGCTTATAAGAGGGAAATTAATGGAATGAACTATATATAGTCCTTGTCACTGTAGTTGGTCTCAAGGCCACGGCTGGTCGTCTGGTCCTCATCATATCCCTCCACCACTATCCATTCCAATCCCTCTCACCCTTGGCCACCACCTCAGCTGCTCTCAGTAGCTTAATCTGGTTGGGTGCCCTATTTGTAAGTGGTCTGAGCACATCTCAGGCCCAGATGGGCAAAGGATTACCAAGAGACACCCAAATAGGTCACCAGAATTCCATGCATATTCCACCTGCCCACATTGTGTAACAGCAGCCACACCTCCTGCTGACCATCAACAGTTACCTCGGATAAGATGGCCGTTCCCTTTCTTACTTGCTAGTCTTTGACCATTAGGAGGCCAAAGTACCTGGTGACAGCCATCACTGTAGTCCAGTGGGATCTCTGCTGTATCTCCAGGCAAGAGTGTGCCCCTTTTGGGAACCAGGACCTCTAACTCTGCAGAGCCCAGTGTTGCAGGGAGAGGAAATTGTAGGGGGTCCTTGGAATTTTACTAAGTAGGGCCACTCTGGAAACCATTCTTTCCAGACTCACATATGGACACAGTACCATACTAACTTGACCGATTCAAGGCATATACCACGATGTTCTGGAGGCTATGTAATCATTGTAGGATATCACCTCCATGCTAGTGCTTTGACTCCATCTTTAACTGGCCTTTCCAATACTGCATCCTATAGCTACTGGGTGGTGAAGTGTATGATAAGACCATGGATACTATGTTCATGGGTTCATTCCCTCAACTTTCTATGCCATGAAAAAATTCACCTGGTAAGATGCTATGTTAAGTGTGATTCCATGTCTGTGGATCAGGCAACCTTTAAGGCTCCAGAAAGTGGTGCTACTGGCCAGGCGTGGTGGCTCATGCCTGTAATCCCATCACTTTGGGAGGCCGAGGCATGGATGACTTAAGGCCAGAAGTTTGAGACCAGCCTGACCATCATGGTGAAACCCTGTCTCTACTAAAAATACAAGATTAGCCGGATGTGATAGCACACGCCTGTAATCCCAGCTATTTGGGAGGCTGAGGCAGGAGAATCGCTTGAACCCAGAAGGCAGAGGTTGCGGTGAGCTGAGATCTCACTATTGCACTCCAGCCTGGGCAACAAGAGTAAAACTCTGTCTGAAAAAAAAAAAAAGAGAGAGAGAGAGTGCTACTACTGAGGCTCTGCAGGGGGAAAGGGCAACCCCAAATCCAGAATAACTGCCTCTTCCTGTGAGAACCACTGCTGGTTCTGCCAGAACAAAAGGGGCCCGATGTAGTCTACCGGTCACCAGGTAGTCTATTGTTCTCATTGAGGAATAGAGCTTAGCATTGGTCTTTATGGCTGGCAGATCAGACACTCAGAGGTGGCAGCAGCTATGTTCATTTTGGCAAATGACAATCCATGCTGTTAGGTTCTTGTATCACTTCCATCTTGGCCACCGTGGCCTCTTTGTGCAGCAGTGGAGGAGCAGCCTCTCACTAACCCTGGCCAACATTAACTGGCCAAGTTATTTTGTGTAGTTGGCAGATCTTTTGTGGGTCTTAATGTGATATGAACTGCCCACTTCCATACGTCTATTCATATGCTTCCTTTTACTCTTAGGCTCCCAAATTCCCAGCCAGGCCACCATCACTGTCCATGAGTTCATGTATGTTCTCACCCTAGGCCATACTCCTTCCATACCAAGTGATGACTAGGTGCACTCTCAAAGCTCCTCCCCCTGGGGAGATTTTCCCTTACCATTGTTTTTCAAGACCTTC